TACATAATGCTATTTCTGGTGGCTCAGTTATTCATTTATTATCTAAATTTTATGTGGTCTAATATGTCTCCTTGGAAGTTATATGGTTTGAAAAATTGCCTGTAATAAATCCTTTATTTTTAGACATAAAGAAAATTACCCATTCCTTTTTCCAAGAAAATTAGTTTCTCCCTAGCCTGACTAGATACATATTGAGGCTATATTTAAAGATTATCAGTTTGAAGGAATATCTAATTACATGCCAGCCCTGGGGCCTCATGCCTCTCCCTGGCCACGATGCCATTCTTCACCAGAACTTGCCGCCTTTGCAGTGATACAGCCTCTGTGTCTCCAGGAGACCTTGGACGTTTGGTGGCGGGCAACGATCATGGCTCCGCCTTGGCCTTCTCCCTCACAGCCTCGCATCGTGTAGCCCCCGCCTCCTGGTTTAGCAGTGCCCCTTTGCCTGTGGCATTTCCAGCCGTGGATGTCCCAGCAAGTAGATGGCCACCGTGTGCATGGTCTTGCACGTTGACTCTGTCCCCCACAACCTGGTTTCCACAGGCAACGTCCAGGGCCCCTCTGTGTCTCCAGGGGGCCCAAGAGACAGCCTGGGTCTCCCGAGATGCATCTGTCTTTCTACCCCTTTCCCCACCAGTCTCTCGTTTACCATCTGGCTGACTAATGCATCTCTTTGAGCAGCAGGGTTGATGGAAACATGCTTCAAATTTGCATGACTGTTGCACAGAGGTCAAACTCACAGCCTCTGGAGCCTAGCGACCCAGGTTCACACCCTGCCTCTGCTACGTGCAAGTTGTGTCAATTCGGTGGAGTCCTTTCCCAAGGGAGAGGAATGATCACAGGTCCTGCCTCAGTGCTGCCCTTGAGAGAAAAAGCTGATGCCATCCAGAGCACCGAACAGTGCTTTGCCCGAGAAGACACACAGATGGCGAATGGGCCCGTGAGGAGACATTCACCACATTCGTTTTGGGAAATTGGAGATTAAACCACAGCAAGACACCACCCATACCTGTTAGAACAGGAACAGTTGGACATGTACCTTCTCACACCCAGGTATTTACCCACAAGAGGAAGAAACACAGGCCCACACAAAGGCTTGTGTGTGACCATCCAGGGCAGCTTTGAGTGTCACAGCCAAAACCGGAAACAGTCCAAATGTTCAGTGAGAAAAAGACGAGCTGTTGATACAACAGAGGGGATATATTTCAAAGTACTGATACTGTGTGAAAGAATAAAGACAGAACCCGGCATATTGTGCGTTATAATATGAGCTTAGGTCGCATCCCAGAGGATGCAGTTACAGAGGGCAGCCCAGTGGTCTCTTGGGAATGGCGGGCGGGGGCGGGGGGGGGCGAGGAAAGTCTGGGGCGTGGATGTATGCTCTCTTGATCATGGCGATGGTTTCACAAGTGAACTCGGGTCAACACGCCTAGGAGTGCACACTTGAAATAGATGCGAGTTGTGATGTGTCAATTTCACCGCCATAATGCTGGTCTTATTTTTTTTAATGAACGTCTGTGACATAGCAGGCCTTCCAAAAGTGTCAGCTGCTACCAACTTTATTGCTATACTGAAGACATTTTAGCCGACCTTTTAAAGAGCATTTCATCAGAAGCAGTATTCAATAATTGACTCTACCGCCACCGTACCAAGAGGTAGCTGTGTTTTTCCTTTCCTTCTTGGGCCGCTCGTGAATGAGCATGAATGAGGGACAGCAGCCCAGCCCTGAGGTAAGAAGGTGAGTTAGGTGCTCACTATGACGTCCATTGCCTTGTTGACGGTGGACCTTGGATCTTCTCAAGTGTAAAACAGTATACGGCACAGCACATGATTGCTGTAAGAATCACACTTTTGAAAAGGACGTGAGTGTGTCTGTGAACATAAAGCCATGTGAACACATAGTCAGTATGACTAGAAAAGAGGGCCGGGCATTCACAGTTTTCAGGCGAGGTGACTGAGGCCCAGGGGCCCACAGCAAACCTCACGCAGGAGCGAGATGTGTCCAACATCTCATTCTCCCTAGACTCAGAGTTCCCATCAGAATTCTCTAAAACATCTTTAAAAATAGTGGCCTCGGGGCTCTCCACCTCACTGTCTTAGGCAGAATTCCCAGAGGGGGAGCAGGAACCTGAGTTTAGATGAAAGCTCCCAGGTAGTTCTTTTCCAGCCGGTGGTACCAGCAAGTAGATGGTCTCTTGAAAACAATCGCCTTGACCTTGATGCCTCTCAGTGAGAAACTTGAGCTGTCCTGGGTCCTGATGCTCAGGAGAAACCTGGTGTTAGCTCCAGGAAGGATGGTGCCTCTCCCAAAGAATCTGGAAATGCAAAATGTTTGAGACATCTTTCAAGTTGACATCGTTAGCACAAGCTATTCCCATCATCCCTTCCGTCCTTTCCTGAGCACTTTTCTCTTGGGGTTCTTACTGGTCTTCGGATAATCCTTGGAAATTGCCATCTTGTTAATGTGAATGTTCACTACTTAATCTCTTGCATCTCATCACTGTCCTCAAAAATCCAAGTCCCTCCATGTTGCACTGGCATTTGCCCGGATGGTGTGTCTGGGTGTGGCTGCATGCAACACGGACTTTCATCTGTGTGGGAACACCACCTGGAAATCAAAAAGCGAGAGGAACGGCTCCAGGATGGGTGCACGTCATCCTCAGCATCAGCTGGCATGGAGAAAGCAGATGACAAGAGTGAGTCTCCCCTCCTGCCTCGTGTCATCTGAACGTGTAGTGGAAGGACTCTTTTCTTGCACTACCAGGAGAGAAATGCCTTTCTGGGGTCAGACTCAAGTCAAAACTCTTGGGGTTGCTTTGAAATCCTCTATCAGAGACACCACATGATGTAACCAGACCTCTTATCACCTGGCTCCATATCCACAAGCTGGGACCAGATGCTCCCCTTTGTGGCCAAGGCGAGGGCTCACTGAGCAGCAGGCCTGGAAGCTGCTATGAAACCCGGGAGGGAACACCCAGTTGATGAGACTGTCTCCAACTGCTGCCGTGCAGGAGTGTGGCCCAGGAGTGCCAGACATTCTCATTCTTCCTGAAGGGAGGGCAGTAGAAGCAGCCCCCTTCTATGGTGTCACATTCAGGGAAAATACTTTGAGTGGGACAAGCGAGATATCGTCAAGTCAGCTCACACTCCACAGGCTACAGCTTGTGATCTCTAACCCACGCTATTGTCCAAAGCCATCATCTCTGCACAACGAAGACAAAATCATGTCAATAAGCGAATTCTTACACCCGCACAACGAGTTGATAGCATAACCCGTCCTATCAACCCCCAAATGAACAAAATATAAGAATGCAAAATTCAGCTCAAACTGAAGCTCAGTCTTCACGGGAAGCCAGAGTAGTCAGATAACCTGAACAATAACCTGTGAGGTCCTAATCAGCCCCAGGCCGGAGGTGGGTTTCTGCCCACCTATCTGTCGGCCAGGATGTACAGGAGCTCCCCCACCTTCTCCTCACAGCCCAGATCCCCACCCACCCTGGAGTGGCAGATGGGCTCCTTAAGAGACACCCAGATGCCCACACAGGATGGGCTGGCCCCAGGTAAGAGGGCCGGAGGCTGGGGCAGGGATCAGACGTCCTCTGCTGGGCAACGTGGACACGCGTGACACGACTAACTTCTCTGTGTCACTGACAGACGACTCGCCTCCACTCGCATGAAAGGGAGAAAAGTGACTCTCCTCGTCTGTGCTGACATGACAGGGAGGGTCCAACGTGCCATGCTTCTATCAAAAGCCGACAGCGTGTGACGTGTGGGACAGGAAGGATGGGCATCTCTGGGGGAGGTGCTGAGGGTCTGGGGTGTCTATAACTTAGTCCTACAAAGCCTCCCAGAAGATCGATGGTTTTGTGTATTTTACTTGTGAAAATATAGATTAAAAAGCCTTGGTGTGATGAGTCCTGGCAGAAAACAGAGGGCACGCCGGGCAGTTGAACCCAAAGGGTGGTGGAACTCTCTGTAGAGAAACTCCTCATGGGGCCCGGGCAGGGAGAGAGCAGCAGAAGACCAAGACCACCCTCAGCATGAGCGCCAAGGCGGGGAGAAGGGAGCCTGTGCTGCCAGATCCCAGCCAAGACCCCCGTCCCTCTGGAAAGGGAGCCAGCTGGTGGGATCCAGGGTGCAGGGGCCCAGAGGGCCAGGCAGCCCAGGAAGTTCAGCCCCTAGACGCCAGCCTCCTGGGTCACAGGACAGGGTGGGCTGCGGCAGACGTGGGTCTGAGGGTGGGGACGGTGGAGGGGGAGGACCACAGAAGGCACAGGGAGCCGTCTGTCACGGAACGCTGGAGCAGAGAGGGGTCGTCATCCTCTAACCTTCTAGTTGTCATTGTGTGGATGAGAAACCAAGACTCAGGGAAACGCCGTGAGCGGGGGGCAGCACACACCCACTGAAGGGCCTCCTGGGGACCCGAGGCAGCACCTTCGTGTCCGTTCTCGTGGGCTGTCCCCTGGGTCGGGTTGGGCGGCACAAGTCGGGAGACTCACGTCAGAGTCGGCAGCTATGAGACGCCTACACAGCGTGCTTCCAGGACTGTGCCCATCAGGCGTCACTACCTGGCGACCGGTGTCTTTCCTCCCGGCCCAGGTTTGCCCTCAGGCACATTCGGCTGGCGAGTGACTCCTGACTGGTGACTAGTGAGTGACCAGGGATGCCTCTCCTGGGCCCTAGGGTTGTCGAGGTCCCAACCCATCATCCTGCTTCTGTAATGTCTCCCACAGTGAGCAGCTTGGCAAGCAACAAGCAAGCCACTAGTGAGCCACCAGAGAGCCACGGGTGAGCCACTGGTGAGCGCCTCTTCCTGCCCGTGGGCTCTGAGTCCGCAAAGCCTCTGCCACATCTGAGACGTCTTCCTCCCTGACCCAGGTGCCCTCTTGCAGGCCCGGCCGGGACCCCAGGGGCCCTCACGGTGGGAGTCTCGCGGGACCGGTGTGCTCGAGGGGGCGTCCACCGAGGCCCGGCCCTGACGGCTGCCCTTCTCCCTGCAGGTGGACAGGACCGAGGTGATCCGCACCTGCATCAACCCTGTGTACTCCAAGCTGTTCACGGTGGACTTCTACTTCGAGGAGGTGCAGCGCCTGCGCTTTGAGGTGCACGACATCAGCAGCAACCACAACGGGCTGAAGGATGCCGACTTCCTGGGCAGCATGGAGTGCACGCTTGGCCAGGTGGGTGCCCCCTCCCTGCCCTCCCCCTCGGCCGGCCCCACCGCCTTGTGCCCACGGGTTTCGCTTTCTTAAACATGCGGCATTGCAAGGCCCTCCAGGCACTACATCAATCCACAGAGGTGACCCTGCACGCCCGCAGTGGCTTATTTTGCAAAATCAGTCAAGTTCTCTTCCAAACTCCCCCTGTGTCTGTCACTTGCCCCACCACAATGGATCCAGCACTGTGGCCCCAGGCTCCACTCACAGGGCTCCTACAGCCTCATCCTGTCCCACCGGAAGACCCGCACTATGGGTGCTTCTCATGCTGAGTCTCTGGGGCCAACATAGCCCAGGGTAGCGCTAAATGGATACTTGAGGGGTGAGTGAATGCTTTTCCTCAATCCTGACAACCGTGACATGACACACTATCTCAAATGCACACATCATATCCGTGGGAGACAGAGACTCGGAGGAGCGTGACTCGGTGACACTCTGGCCAGTGGCAGTGCAAGGTTCCATCAAGCCTGCCTGGCCCCAACTGCATCCTGTTGCTTCTGGAACACTTTCCTCTTCCCCTTCCCTTCCTGCTGGACCCAGAGCTGGGCCAAGGTTGGGGCGTCTGAAAGAGGAAACATTCACTGGGCCCAGAAAATGGACAATTTTACGGAGAAGGCATGGTAAGTGAGCCTCCCACAGAGCCTTCTGTGATGAGACACCCTGGGCTCTGAATGTGGGGCTGTGGCCTTCTGGGAGGAGAGGGCTTTTCCGTTGGGGCACTCAGAGAAGGAACTGTGGGACCACACCTTGGGATGATATGGCCCAGGGACCTAAGCGGGAGGAGAGGGGCCTTCCAGGTAAGAAGGTGACGTCAGCAAGTCGTCGCGGTTGGGACAATGTGGCAGGGGTGTGGGTGGGACGAGGCCCTTGTCCCACACCCAGGCCCGGTGCCAATCAACAGAGGCCAGTACGAGGTAAGGATTTTCCTTGGGAAGGCTTCCTGGCCTCAGAGAAGAGACAGGCACGAAGCAGCAGCTCCTCGCTGCCTGAGACTCCTGCAAACCCTGGGCCACCCCCGGCAGGGCTGAGGACCAGAGCAGCCCCGGGCCTCAGCCGAAGCAGGGGAGGCCTGGAGCCCGCCCTGCCTGCAGCTCCTCGTCCCAGGAGAGCAAAACGCCCCGATGCGGAAGCCAGTGGGGACGGGATTTTTCATTCCCCGAGCTGAAAGTGTCACGCTGGCAGAGCACGCAGAGGAACCAAAGGGCAGGCCCGCTGGAGGGGGTGGCCCAGCAACCGGGGCTGCGTGACTGAGCTTCCCTGAGCTCTCAAGTAAGGGGACTGCAGAGGGAGCCCTGGAGACAAGGTCCCGGACCATCCCTAAGGAACGTGTTTCAGAGGCACAGCACGTGATTTGGCACCGGGCAAAAATGCCAGCGCAGAGAGGCCCAGGTCCACGGAGAAGCTCCGGGCAGAGCGGGCTGGACCTGGCAGACGGGGAGCTGCGGGGACACGGCACGCAGCGCTGTGGGGTCTGGACGAGCCTGGCAGCCACCCGGGGCTTCTGTGGCCCGAAGGTGAGGAGGAGCGAGGCCCCATGGGCTCCCCGGCAGAAGCTCTGCAGGGGAGACGTGGCCACGCGGTCCGCACACAGGTGGTGCCTTGGCTGCTCTTTCTGCTTGTGGACTCAGCCCTCCATCCATCCCCACTCTCTCACGGCTGCAGCCCCCAGAGGCTGTGGACGCTGGGCGCCGGTGACCTTCTCCAGGCGCTTCTGCCTGCCCGGCGCCAGGCGAGGCAGTGGCTGCCCCTCAGCACCAGCACAGCGTTCCTGGGAAGCAGGCGCTGCAGTCACTGTTGCTTTACCACGAAGGAGCCAGGCTGGGGTGGGACCCAGGCCTGTTTTGTGCCGGAGCTCTGTGCCATCCACCGACTCATCCTCACAGCCCACCGCTGGCTAGTGGAAGGGGTGAAGCAGCATCCGTGAGCGCAAGGCCAGGTTGGAGTTGGCCTTGTGGTTTCTTGGTGTTTTGCTTTGCCTCTTCCTGGGTTTGTGTGTATTGTGCAAAGCTGGTCCGGGGAATCCTCGTGCAGAAAAGCAGCCTTGGCCACCCTCCCTCCGGGTCGGCATGCTGAGTCTGCGTTGAATGGAGCAAGGCTTCTTCGAGAGCGTCAGACCTGCCCGGGCGACCAGAGCCGACCCCTCAGCACCCAGAAGCTGCACCCTCAGGCCTTCCCGTCTCCCTCAGCCTCCAAGCAAACCCCATGTCCAGACTCCACGGGTGGCCGGGCCCTGCCACTGGCCCTCCTGTGGGAGTCCTCTCTCGTCTGTGGCCTGGGGGGTCGGCGAGGCTGTGAGGCCAGCTCTTTTGCGCACCTCCTCCCCTAGTGTTCCCGCACTGTCTGGCGGCTGAAGAAGTGAGAACAATGGGGACGGGTGACTGAGTTAACAGGCAGTGAATGCGTGCTAAAGCCAGGTGCCCCCTGCTTCCTGCCATCATAAGTGGGGCAGGGAGACCCGGGACCCCTGAGCGGTGACGATGGTGAGGAGTCCCAGGCTGTCTCGGGGCCTCTGACTCAGGAGAGAGGGACCCTGCACCCGCTGCCCGCCGAGCGGTGTCTCCCGCCGAGCGGCGTCTCCCGCCAAGGTGCAGCAGAGTCACCTGGAGCCTTAGGAAAACATACATTGCTGCCCCCAGAGTTTCTGGTTCAGGAGGTCTAGGAGAGGCCCATCAGGTGCATTTCTGAGTTCCCAGTGATGTCTCTTTGCTGGTCCAGAGACCACATCTTGAGACCCCCAGGCATCTGGCGCAGACAGTGCTAATGCATCCAGGACACTGTATCCTTAGTTTTAATTGCTAAGGGAGCAGATGTTCTGGGCAATTATTTGGAGAAAGTGGAGAGGACAAATAAAACCTCTGGGGAGCAGAAACAGCTTGCTTCGTGAGGTTTGCAGTCCTACACCAGGTTTGCAGACTTTGTACACAACTTGAGGCTACACTCACGGTGAAGACACTGGTGGCCACAGCTGGTTTCTTCATCTGCTGATGCTGTGGAACGACCCGATTTCCAGGCTGCTGCACTCTGCCCGGGCATAGGGAGTGGCAGGCCCACGCTAGCCGCAGGGCCCTGGGGGATGGGCCGTCCACGGGCTGCAGGCCCCTGGGGATGGGTGTGGGGCTGGGCGGCCTGACAGGGGACGCTGGGCCTGGAGGGCCTGGGAGCGCAATGCCCACAGACAGGCCCCGCAGGCTGGCATTCTGGTGTGACAACTGACATCCTCCTGGCACAGAGCTGGCGCCCCAGGGCGTCACCTCTGCAGTGACTGCAGCTCATTTCCTTCTGCCGGCTCACGAACGGCTCGCCCTGCGGCTGCTGGTCTGCCAGCGAAGGCCCAGGGGCGATGGTCAGCGTCACGGGTGACCTCTCATCCCGCACCCAGGGCTGGCTGGGGCACCACGGGTGGAAGAGCAGCTTCTGCACCAGTCGGGTGCAGGGTGAGCAAGGCCAGGTCTGCCAGGAGAACACAGGTGGTTCTTGCCTTTGTCTCTGCTGTCCCTTTACCGGCGGCTGCCCAGGACCTGGTGATGATGGTGGCGGTGGTGATGGTGGTGACGATACCGTCACAGCACCAAACGAACCAGTGCCTGGCACTGAAGCACCACGGCAGCTTCCACCACGCCCACCTCTGTGGTTCCTGGCCAGTTCCGCTCCAGTTCCACTGCCACTAGCTCAAGCCACAGACTGCAGCACCAGCCCCGCCCCCGCTCCCAAGTGCTCACACGCGCTCTCCCGCCATCCAGCCCTCACCTCTCCCCTGAAACGCCACAACGCCACCTTGCTGCCCTCCGCAAGGACCAGCCTCCTTAGAAAAACGGGCTGTCCTTGTCTGGCCCGGAAGCAGGAGACGGTCCGGCACCACGAGCCGAATTGTCAGCACGGCAAATGGCCAAGTGCCTCAAGGCCAATGACCAAAAAGTCGATTCACCCAATAATGCCTCAGCCCCCAAGTCAACTCTCTACCAGAGACTCTCATTTACCAAAAATAAGACTTTGAAACTTTTTGTTTTAGATCCATCTATTGTACATTTATTTTTGAAAACCAAAAGTAAATGAAACCTCGCTTGGAGTGGGGACACGGTATAACTGCCCAGCTCAGTCAGAGAAATCTAATTAGAAGGTTTTTCTCCATGCAAGAAGCATCGATGAAGGGAGAGGGGATTCCTGGCTCTGGTGTCTGTGCTGTGGGCCAGTTCTTTAAAAAAAAATTATTTATTTTTATTTATTTATTTATTTATTTATTTTGAGTTGGAATCTCACTCGGTCGCCCAGACTGGAGTGCAGTGGCCACTCGCGGCCCCTGCAGCCTCGACCCACTGGGCTCCGGCGATCCTTCCGCCTCAGCCTTCCAAGTAGCTGGAACTACAGGCGCGCGCTACCATGCCCGGCTAATTTTTTGATTTTTTGTAGAGATGAGGTCTCGCCAAGTTGCCCAAGTGGGTCTCGAACCCGCGGGCTCAGGCAATCCACTCACCTCAGCCTCCCAAAGTGCGGGATGACAGGCTGAGCCACCGAGCCCAGCTAAAAAAAGTTATTTTAAAGGTGCGAGGTACAATTCAGGATTAGGTATACAAATGGTCATCGTGCAGGTAGAGTTTGGGCCTGACGCTGGTCTCCACTTCGCCTGGTTTGAGATCAGGTCCCCTTATGGATGGAAGGGCTTCCCCTCGTCCTCCTGGCAGTGACCTGCTACTGCCAATCCCTTTCTTACAGTATTACGATAATTGTTCAGGGTCCGCTTATGAATGAGAACATGTGGTACTCAGTTCTTTGCTTCTGTGATAGACCGCTGAGTATGATGAACTCTAAATTCGTCCAAGGTGCAGTGAAGTTCATCATTTCGTCCTTCTGTATGACTGAGTTAATCCTCCATCATGTATATGTAACACATTTTTTTAATCCAGCCCACTTTCAATGGGTCACACGGTTGGTTCCATGTTTTTTCTTTTGTGAATAATGCTGCAATA